CTTAAAATATATATATAGGCACACATATGTATACATATATATAAATATATATATATTTTTGAGTGGGGACAGAGTCTCACTCTGTTGCTCTGAGTAGAGTGTGGTGGCTTCAGCCTAGTTCACAGCAACCTCAAACTCCTGGGCTCAAGCGAGCCTCCTGCTTCAGCCTCCCGAGTAGCTGGGACTACAGGTACAAGCCACAGTGCCCAGCTACCGTGTTTCCCCAAAAATAAGACCTACCCATAAACTAAGCCCTAGTAGGATTTCTAAGCATTTGCGCAATAGAAGCCCTACCCCGAAAATAAGACCTAGTGATGGACATGGCTACGCAGCGTATCTGCACAACCCATGCATTTCGTCGCACAGCGGTAAAGAAGACGAGCAGCCCTTCTCATCTGCCCCATGAGAGCTCTATTGCTCGACATGAGAGATTGGGGCCAATGGTTCTAAAGGAAATAGAGTCGCAAGAAATTCAGGATGGAATTCGGGGTTCGGAGAGTTATGATGACGTTCCAGAAGACGACGACTTAATTATATGTGAATAAATGTAGATTGTTGTACCATATTAAAAAAAAATAACACATCCCTTGAAAATAAGCCCTAGGGTGTCTTCTTGAGGAAAAATAAATATAGGACCCTGTCTTATTTTTGGGGAAACACAGTAGTTTTTCTATTTTTAGTAGAGATGGGGTCTTGCTGTTGCTCAGGCTGGTCTTGAACTCCTGTCTCAAGTCATCCTCCCACCTTGGCATCCCAGAGTGCTAGGATTACAGGCATGAGACACCGCCTATATATATATTTATTTAAATCTGACAAATCAATACCAAAGAGTTAATAGTGACTATGTCAGTAAGATTTTTTTTTTCTAATTTTGACATTTTTTTTTTTGAGACAGAGTCTCACTCTATTGCCCAGATTAGAGTGCCATGGCATCAGACTAGCTCACAGCAACCTCAAACTCCTGGGCTCAAGCAATCCTCCTGCCTCAGCCTCCCAAGTAGCTGGGATTACAGGCATGCACCACCATGCCCGGCTAATTTTTTGTATAATATATAATATATAATACACACACACAACACCACACACATATATATATATATATACTTTTTAGTTGTCCAGCTAATTTCTTTGTTTCTTTCGTTCTTTTTTTTTTTCAGACAGAGTCCTGCTTTGTTGCCCAGGCTAGAGTGAGTGCCGTGGCATCAGCCTAACTCACAGCAACCTCAAACTCCTGGGATCAAGCAATTCTTCTGCCCTCAGCTTCCCAAGTAGCTGGGACTATAGGCATGAGCCACCATGCCCGGCTAATTTTTTCTATATATATTAGTTGGTCAATTAATTTCTTTCTATTTATAGTAGAGATGGGGTCTTGCTCTTGCTCAGGCTGGTTTCAAACTCCTGACCTCGAGTGATCCACCCGCCTCGGCCTCCCAGAGTGCTAGGATTACAGGCGTGAGTCACTGTGCCCAGCCCAGCTAATTTCTTTCTATTTTTTTAGTAGAGATGGGGTCTCACTCTTGCTCAGGCTGGTCTCGAACTCCTGAGCTCAAACGATCCTCCTGCCTCTGCCTCCCAGGGTGCTAGGATTACAGGCCAGCCTGAGATAGGGTTTTGCTATGTTGCTCAGGCTTGTCTTGAAATTCTGGGCCCAAGGGATCCTCCCACTTCAAGTAATCCCTGAGTAGCTGAGATTACAGAGAGGTGCCACTATGCCTGGCTCTTCTATTTTTATTTTATGTGTACATTCCAATTCTCCTACAACAAATGTGTAGTACATGTGTAATAAAATATTATAAAAGTGGGAAATGAGACTGTTTCTCTCCTTGTGCCCATGGTCCTAAAGGTTTTGCTGAACTTCACTATTTTTAAGGCATGCCAGACTGAAGATAAAGATTTTGTGACTTTTCAAAAATAAAAAGCACTAGCTGGCTGAGCTTATTTGTTTTGTTTTTTCTTTTTCCGCTTGCTTGTTTCTTAGAGACAGGGTCTCACTCTGTTGCCCAGGCTAGAGTGCAGTGGCACACTCATAGCTCATTGGAACCTCCAACTCCTGGCCTCAAGTGACCCTCCCCACCTGGGCCTCCCAAAGTGCTGGAATTAGAGCCACCACCAAGATATCAGCCACCCACCCTGATATCTTAAAGTTGGGGCAAATGGCCCTTCCCAGTTACCCTTGAAATGCCAACACCAGGTGGCAGCCTGTTCTGTCTGCTCAGTTGTGGGCCTGCCTCAGTCTTGGGTGTAGCACAGCTCAGTCCAGACATTTGAGGCCTTTGTCTGGGTCCCAAATGTGACCAACAAGCTTGATGTACCAATCTTGCTCCTTGTTCTTTTTTACTCCATCTGCCACAGGCCACAGCCAAGACTTGGTCCACTGAGGTTTAAAGTCAACTCGGGCCCTCCCTTACCCCCAAGGAAACATCCACTAACCAGAACACTCAAAGGGTCTTGAAGTGGCTGAAGCTTATCACCTCATCAACTCCTCTACCCAACACCACAACAGGACATAGTAATTCTCATTTATTTTTCACCTTCAACAAAGAGGAAGGGCTGCTCTCGCAATTCTGTTCTTTCCATGCTTCAGGATAAGTACCCCCAACCCTCCTGCCTCCAGGGAGGCCTGGGTGTCACTGTCTGTGGAGATGGTCACTGGGGAGTGCTTGAGCGGGTGGGAAGGAGAAACTCAAGCAGGGAGAGAGCCCTATGCCATGGCGTCACCTTCCTGCCATCTCCCTCATTGCCTTTCCTTCAAAGCGGAAGGAGTGCCAGCCCTCTGCTTCAGTCAGATCTTGGGCTCCTAGGGCCTTGTACAAGTCCATGGCCTTCTTGTTCCAATCCAGGACTGCCAGGCGGAACTGGGAGCAGCCTTTATCCAGGGCCACCTGTGGGAGCAGACATCATTTACTTTCCTGAGGTAAAAAACAAAACAGGCTTTCTCACCTCATCAACCCGGGTTTTCCCATATACCCTTGCTTCTTCAAGGCCTAGCTTGTAGCCCTCACCCCTCTCCTCACCTCAGCCACCTTTTTGATTATTTCCGAACCAATTCCCTGACCTGTTGTAGGGAGACAGAGACAAAAAGAGTGATTGTTTGAGTTGGAGAAGATGGGAAAAGGCCACAGGCTGGGATTGGGGGGCAGAGGATGGTGGTAGGGTCTGTGGGTTGCTTTGCTCCCACCCCAGCTTCAGCCTCTGCCCAGTACCGCGATGTTCTGGTGTCACATAGATGTCTTCCAGATAAATGCAGCGTCCTGTCCATGTACTGTAGACGAAATAGTATAGCCCATAGCCCACCACACAGGGACCTGAGAGAAAGAAAAGAGGGGCATGGGCTGTGGGAGCCTGAGGGGAGACCTCTGAGGCCGACTGGACAGGTGGACTTCTGAGGTCCAGGTGCCCTTACCCTGTAGCTCCCCAGGGGCTGGAAGAATCTCTGCTACCAAACAGTGATAGAAAGGATTCTCTCCAAAGCCATCTGCTCTCAGGGCTGCAGAGATTGGAGTTGTGACAAAGAGAAAAAAAGGTCCTTGGGTGTAAGCCCATCCTTGAGCTGGCCCCTAGGGAATCCACTCCTCGCTCCCCCCCCCCCAGCCTCCGTGAGGCCCCAGGTGCTGAGCCCCCACCTTCTTCACTGATCGTCACCTGATCCGAGAGTTTCTCGTACTCAGCTAGTTCCTAAGGCGTGTGGACAGAGGCTAGATTAGGGCAGGAGGACCCCGCTGTTCCCCCAACAGAGTCCCAAGGCGCGCCCCTCCTCCTGCCCGCACCTCCTACTCCCCAGCTCAGCCCGCGCCGCTCTGACCCCCCAGTTTCCCACCCGCAGCCCTCACCCGAACCAGCCTCAGGATATCTGCACAGTCTCCCTCCTTGGCCTCTCGGATTCGCAGTGAAGCCATCCCTCTCCCCACCGTCTGGGATCAAAGTCCCGAGACTTGGCAAAGGGCAACTGGGGGCCTTTAAAGGGCCTACAAGCTCGGATCCCGAAAAGCCTGGGAGAGCGGGGCTGCGGGGGCGCCCAGGCTGGGCAGCGGCGCTGGCTGGGCGGAGAAAACGGGCCGGCGAGGCGGTCCTCACCGCCGGGGTAAGCCCCTAAATTCCGCCGCTGCGGGCGCACACCCGCTAGCCAATCAGCTTGCAGAACAGGCGCATCCGCGCCCCAGCCCCGCCCACAACGCCCCAGTCCTGTGACCAGGCCCCTGGGCAGGGGTCAAAGTTGGAGTGCGGAGGCTTCTTTGCTGTTGTTTGGTCGTCCCAGCCTCCATCGGCTGGAAAGCTTCCCCCACCTCTTGCTTCTTGAATTGAAGTGTGCACTTAGCCTCACTCTCACTCACCCAGACCCAGGGGCCCCAAGACCCCCAGGTCTGACAGCCGTTTCCTACAGCTCTTGAGTGGCTGAGAGTGTTACTTCTTTCAAGGGTATTTACATTTTTAAATGGGTTAGGGAGAAGGCGATGAATTTCTACTGCTAGACTGCTAGGCTGTAATAAATAAATAGATAGGGGAAGATAATTGGGAGTGAGGGGCGGGTCCACTTAGTAGCCACTAAATCATACACAGAGACAATACCTTCTTGTGAGACAAACCTCAGAGGCCTGGGAAGACACTGGAGGAGGTGTTCACACCAGATACCAGGCACTGTGCCTGCGTTATCTCAATTAACGCTCATTCATAACAACCCATAAAGTGTTATTTTCCTCATTTTACAGACAAGGACACTGAAGCACAAAGTGACTTGCCGAAGGTCACCCAGCTAAATATTTATAATTCCATGTCTCACCTCTAGCCCTAAGAAAGGATGCTCCTTGGGGAGCAGAGCAGGACTGGTTCTAGACCTCCGGCCTGGCAAGGCAGCCTCTCCAGGTGGGCAGAAGGTTTGGAGGACCTAAGTCAGGCTCTAGAAGAGGGGAGGGGAAATGGGCTGTCCTCTCCCAGCTTGTAAACTTTCTCAGCAGTGGGGGATGGTAGTGGAGGGACTCTGTCCCTCACCCCATTTGTCCTCATTGGGGCCCGCAGGGTCAGTGCCCCATCTCCTGCCCCCCTTTTTCCCCCGGTGCAACCTTTAACCCTCCACCGCCATGCACAAGGCTGCCTGCCCTCACTGCCTTCTCCAAAGAGTTGTCTGAGCCACAGAGTGGACAGCCGCTGATTATGGAGAACAGAGGCCCACTGGCCACCTCGCGTCTGCTGCTGCTGCTGCTGCTGCCGCTGCCGCTGCTGCTGCTGCAACTGCCTCACACCCACCAGGGACGGCCCCTGAGACATACTCTCCCCAGCCAGGTGCAGGGGTGGGACAGGGCACTAGTTCATGCGTGTGTTTAAATGAGCTACACTTTGGCTCTGCCTGCTTTCCTTCTCTCCTCCTCTGGCCCTGTGGCAGGGCCTCTCCCTCTGTCTCTGACATGTCCTTGCTCCAGCTTGTTTATCTTCTCTTTCTAATAGAGGGCCCAGGACCCTCCTGCTGTGCACCTTGGCAATGGCCTCCCACAAGAGCCTGTGGCTGTCATGAACTTTGACCTCACTAAGATCACCAAGTATGGGTTGACCTCGCTTCTTAACCCTAGGTTCTCTGACCCTACCCTCTCCCCATCAGCTCTTCTCTTTTCCCTGTCTTCCCATCTGTCTTTCTCCCTGAATGCCACCCCCCACTTCCCGCAACCCCATGTTGACCCTCAAAGGGCATACCCCATACACAGTCTTTCCTTCTGTATTCTTCCAGAACCTCCTCCTCCTTTGAGTTTCGAACCTGGGATCCAGAGGGAGTGATTTTTTATGGAGATACCAATCCTAAGGATGACTGGTTCATGCTGGGACTTCGGGACGGCAGGCCTGAGATCCAGATGCACAATCAGTGGTCCCGGTTTACAGTGAGTGCAGGACCTCGGCTGGATGACGGGACATGGCACCAGGTGAGCTGGCTCTGGTCCTAAGGCCAGGGGTGTCTGGGGCGGGTCTGAGGAAGGGGAGCAAAGCCAAGTTATTGGGGATCCCTTTACCATTGTCATCTCATTTAATCCACACAAAACCCACGAAGGAGCTCTTCTTGTCCCCGTTTTTTTTCCAGTGGGAATGCTAAGGCTCAGTCCGTGTATAAGTGACAAGCCCTGAGGGGTCAAGGATGCCAGCTGAGTATTTAGGGGCATGTTCTTTCCGCTATAGGGTTGGGCTACCTCAGAAGAAAGTGGCAGAAACAGGCCCCAGGGGCCTCTGATTCTGCTTCTCATCCCCTTCCTGCAGGTGGAATTAAAGATGGATGGGGACTCAGTGCTGCTGGGGGTGGATGGGAAGGAGGTGGTGCACCTGAGACAGGTCTCTGGGCCCCTCAACACCAGAGTCCAGCCCATCCTGAGGATTGCTGTGGGGGCGCTGCTCTTTCCCTCCTCCAACCTGCGCTTCCCGGTAACTACATCACCACAGCGGGGAGCAGTGGCCAAGGCGTAGTAAAGAACTGCTGGGGGCCAGTATGGTGGATCCTAGCATTCTAGGAGGCTGAGGCGGGCGGATCACTCAAGGTCAGGAGTTCGAAACCAGCCCGAGCAAGAGTGAGACACCCATCTCTACTGAAAATAGAAAGAAATTCACTGGCCAACTAAAAAATAAATATATGGGCTGGGTGTGATGGCTCACGCCTGTAATCCTAGCACTCTGGGAGGCCGAGGCGGGAGGATTGCTTGAGGTCAGGAGTTCCAAACCAGCCTGAGCAAGAGCGAGACCCCGTCTCTACTATAAGTAGAAAAAAATTAATTGGCCAACTTATATATATATAGAAAAAAATTAGCCGGGCATGGTGGTGCATGCCTGTAGTCCCAGCTACTCAGGAGGCTCAGGCAGGAGGATCGCTTGAGCCCAGGAGTTTGAGGTTGCTGTGAGCTAGGCTGACGCCACAGCACTCACTCTAGCCTGGGCAACAAAGCAAGACTCTGTCTCAAAAAAATAAAAAATAAAAATAAAGAGAGGGGATGAGATGGGAACTGTATCGGGGTGGCCAAATGCTCGTGTCTCAGAGGGGAATAAACTGAGGGTGGGGAGGTGGGAATGGGGCACAGATGCCCTGATGTCCACATCCCTCTATCTTCCTTACCCTCACTTCCTCTAGTTGGTTCCCGCCCTGGATGGCTGTGTTCGTCGGGGCAGCTGGCTGGGCAAACAGATCCAGACCTCAGCCCCTGCCTCCACTAGCCTCAGAAGCTGTGATGTGGAGTCACAACCCGGGATATTCTTCCCTGCGGGGACTCATGCAGAATTCAGTCTCCAAGGTAGATTTCCTTGGAGTCAGTTTTCCCCCATGGCCAACTCTGCCTTTCTCTGTCTCCCTCCACCACTGGCCCCTCCCTTCCCTGAAAGCCCAGCTTTGGAGCCTCAGAAGGATCATTTTTCCCCCTAGACGTTCCCCAGCCTCATGCGGAGCCCTGGGCCTTCTCTCTGGACCTGGGACTCGAGCAAGTGGCCGGCTCAGGCCACCTCCTTGCCTTTGGGACACCAGAGAACCCTTCTTGGCTTGGCCTCCACCTCCAAGACCAAGTAAAGGGGGAGAATGGAGCACTGCCTGTGTTCAGGGGAGCCTGGCAGCAACAAGGGAAAAGGGGGCTGCAGAGTTTCAATATTATAATATTTAGGGTTGCGCTCAGGGTGTGGGGTGAGGGACATATCTGGAAGGCTCCCACAGCAAGCAAACAGTTTTTACTTAGATTGCTTATTTATTTGGGGTGGGTGTGGCTTCACAGAGGTTAAGCCTGGAAAACTGGGACAGGATTTTAGTGGCTAGGATGGCCAGTAGGTGGAGGTGTAGCTGAGAGGCAGGATTAAGGCAGCGAGGAAGGGTTTCTGCTGATTCTTTCCTCCTACACGCTCTGCAGAAGGTGGTGCTGTCTCCTGGGTCCGGGCCAGGGCTGGATCTGCCCCTGGTCTTGGGACTCCCTCTTCAGCTGACGCTGAGTGTGTCCAGGGTGGTCTTGAGCCAGGGGCTGAAGACAGAAGTCCTTGCTCTGCCTCCCTTGGGCCTTGGCCCCATCCTCAACCTCTGGGCCCAGCCTCAAGGGCGACTCTTCCTGGGGGCTTTACCAGGTGGGAGAGAGTGGTGTTCCAGCCCGCACATCATTGTAAACAGCTAAAGGGAGGGGCACATTTTGAGAGGAAGGAAGCCTCTGGGAGGGAAGAAGAAAAGGCCACAAGAAGACACAGGATATGGGGGCAGTGGGAGATAGTGCTTTTGAGAACTCAGGTTAGATTCTCCTTCTTTGTTAAAATTAATTAATTAATTAATTAAAATTTAAAAAAAAGAAAATTCAGACCGGGCAGGGTGGCTCACGCCTATAATCCTAGCACTCTGGGAAGCCGAGGTGGGAGGATTGCTCAAGGTCAGGAGTTCGAAACCAGCCTGAGCAAGATGAGACCCCGTCTCTACTATAAATAGAAAGAAATTAATTGGCCAACTAAAACTATATAGAAAAAATCAGCTGGGCATGGTGGCGCATGTCTGTAGTCCCAGCTACTCGGGAGGTCGAGGCAGTAGGATTGCTTGAGCCCAGAAGTTTGAGGTTGCTGTGAGCTAGGCTGATGCCACAGCACTCTAGCCCAGGCAAGAGAATGAGACTCTGTCTTTAAAAAAGAAAAAGAAAAAGAAAAGAAAATTCAGGTTGGAGTGGAAAAGTGGGGAGGAGCTGCTTCTGGATCCAAGCACCCACACGGTGCTCTAATGCCACCTCTATGTCACCTCCCTCTAGGAGAGAACTCTTCTGCCTCCTTTTGCTTGAATGGCCTTTGGGCACAAGGCCAGAGGCTGGACATGGACCAGGCCCTGAACAGAAGCCAGGACATCTGGACTCACAGCTGTCCTCGGAGCCCAGGCAATGGCACCGACACCTCCCATTAAAGCCCTACCTAAGAACTCCTTTGAAAGTCACTCATTCACTTAGTCAACAAATATTTACTGTGTACTGGAAATGTACCAGGCACTGTGTCAAGCATTGGGTTGTACTGATGAGCAAAACCAACCTGCTTCCTTCCCTCTCCATGCTCACAGTCCTGTCGGGAGGCAGGCAGCCATCAAAGGCTAACTACTAAGTTGGTAATTGGAAACTCTGTAAGCACCCACCACACAGGAGACTCCGAGAGTTGTGATAGCGTGCAGATTGCGAGGCCTTCACCTAGTCTGGGCCCCAAGGAGGGCTTCCCTGTGGAAGCGGTCACTTCTTAGGCTGAGGTCCCAGCAGCAGCACCCACAGATACACACGCACCAGATCCAGGCCACTTTCTGGAAGCCAGGAGCCTACCTCCTTACACAGTATCCGCTCCCTTTGGAATTCCAGCTTCCTGCCTCTGTGGCTGGTCCCTAGAGATCAGGAGCAAGAGGAGAGATGGAATTTTGTTGTCTCAGTCATTCTAGTCCTTGGACTGGCCATTGCTGCCCAGGGATGGAGCAGCAGGGGGCGTCAGAGGGTTGCAGGGAGAGGGGTGCAGGAAGTCTGGGAAAAGGGGTGGTGAAAGGGAGGAAGAAACAGGGAGGTGAGCAGAGGAAGAAAGCTGCCTCTCTCTCTCTCCTAGTCTTGGTCCACTCGCTGCGTTCCCAGATGAATTTGTCTCTACTCCATTAAAAAAGAACTGTGCTGGTCCCAGCTGGGAAAAACAGACAGATTTAGGAATATTTCTGCCCTTAAAGAATATGGTGACCCAGCCCTCAGCCCCTAGACCTCTGGAGAATCCTGGCACCCTATCCTCTCCCAGGAGCACCTTCCTGTCTCAGCTTCCTGTTCCCTGGGGATGCCTCATGCCCAAGCTCCCAGCCCCTATACCCCAGCTCCCAGTCTTCAGCCCTCTTAGAAACCCTTGGGTCCCAGCCCAAAGCTCCCTGCCCACTAAGGAGCCCTGGGGCTCCAGCCCCTCTCTCCCTACTTCTTAACCCTCATCCTGCTCAAGAGCTGTTAATGCACCCCCCATCTCTGGCCCCCATGGGATCTCTAGGCTCCCACCCAGTTTCCCAGCCTCTTGTTTCTTACAAGGCTCTTCCTGCCAGTAACCCAGGCAATGGGGTGAGTCACTCATTGGACCTGTTCTCCCCTCCTGCAGGGACCAGTGAGGACCTAAATGACCCTTGGGTAAGGAGGCTGCAATAGAGTTTCTGAGGTGGAAGACACAAATCCCAAGCCCTGCCTTGTGCCCTTCCCAGTCTTGACCCTGTAGACCTTCCCAGGATCTACACCTGCCTCCTCCCAGCCAACAGTGTTTGTTGGAGAGTCCTGAGCATGGAGAGAGGGGCCCAAACTCAACTCTGGCCCTAGGCCACCTGAGCACCTACCATGTACCAGGCAGTGATCTAGACACCTAGGATGCATTGGCAAAAAGGACAGACATGGCCCCTGCTCTCATGGAGTGTGACAATGGAGGGGAGCAGACAGCCCATAAACAAGAAAACAAGTAAATGAGCAGGCCCATTTCAGATAGTGGCGAGAGCTATAAAGGGAATAAAATCCTGTAATATAATAGGGGGTGTGGGGAGGCAACATTAGCTGGGTGGTCAGGGAAGTCACTTGAGCAGAGACCTGAATAATGAAAAGAAGTCATCCTGTGGAGGCCCAGACTGTGAGCCAGGCGGAGAGAGGTTAAAGAGCCTGGATACACCTGGGCACCCACCAAGGGGCTTGTTCTAAGTGGCAACTTCCTGACCTTTTGTCCCTGGAATCTCCCAGGGGCTGGCTTTTCTTTCCTCTCTCCACCCTACCCTCTCCAGGACACTGTGCCCCCAACCTCTCTTTTTCCAGCCTGCCCTAGATTCCAAGATTCCTGATTACCATCCAGAGCTGTCTACACTCTTTCATTAAGACTGACTTTGCTTTGACGCAGACTTTGCCAGGCCCCCACCAAGGGCACCTACGATGCCAGCCCAACATCCTCTGTCTTCCCCACACCCCAGAAAAACTTTCCAGAGCTTGGCAGCACACCCTGCAGCCTCCAGGCCCAGTCTACCCACTCACTCTACCCTGTCCCCTGCCTCTTTCTCTCTGTCTCCCTCCCTCCCTTCCTGCCTGCCCCCCCAACACCCCTTCCTTTCAACTAACATTTATTGGCTGCTGACAGTATGCCAAACACTGTGTTAGGTCGTCCACAGGGACTGTAAAGATGAACAAGAATTGCCACTGGCCCTGGAGAACCAGAGTTTTGAGAGACACCAACGAGATGCCAGGGAACCTGGCTGCTAGTGCTACCAAGGACCATCAAAGAGGTGAGTTATTAGATGTATGAAGTTGAACAAATGACTAAACCTATATATTTTTTTTTTTTTTTGAGACAGAGTCTCACTTTGTTCCCCAGGCTAGAGTGAGTGCCGTGGTGTCAGCCTAGCTCACAGCAACCTCAATCACCTGGGCTCAAGCAATCCTTCTGCCTCAGCCTCCCAAGTAGCTGGGACTACAGGCATGTGCCACCATGCCTGGCTAATTTTTTCTATATATATTAGTTGGCCAATTAATTTCTTTCTATTTATAGTAGAGACGAGGGTCTCGCTCTTGCCTGTCTACAAAATGGGAAAGTCCCCACATCCATAGAGTTGCTGGAAAGATGTGACAAAATCATGTAGGTAAAATGTCTAGCACAGAGCTTGGCATCTAGAAAGTGCTCACTATATGAGATATCTCGTTATTATTAACCTCACACGTGGTTCTTGACATAGAAGTCTGAGCCTGCTGGGTATCAAAGAAGAGGAAGGGCATGTGATGTGGCTGAACCATGGGCAGGCTGAGCTGGAAGGAGGGCAGACTGGGAGGCTCCTCGGGCCACGTGGTGAAAGGCCTTGTGTGTCCTGCTGAGAAATTGGGGCTCATTTGGTCAGTGAAGGATCTTTCTTTCTTTCTCTTTCTTTTTTTAAATTTCTTTCTTTCAACAGTGGTAAAATATACACAATGGAAAATTCACCATCTTAACCATTTTCAAGTATACAATTCAATGGCATTAAGTCCATTTACATTGTTGTGCAACCATCACCACCATCTGTCTCCAGAACTCTTTTCAGCCTTGCAGATCTAAGACTTTGTCCCCATTAAACAACCCCCCGTTCCTCCCTCCCCCCATATCTGTGTTTCAGAGAGCTCTTCTTTCCTTGTTCTTTTCTCTGCAAAGACCCATCTTGTTGGGAAGTCCCTGGAATTGCATGGACTGGAAGGAGGGGATCAATGGGCAGACCTCAGGGCAAGCTCCCAGTATGGTGTGGGGGCTCTCATTCCTTCCCTCCTTTCTGGGGATGCTGGCAGGAGGGCTGGGTTCCAGGAAGAAGCTGGAGGTTTATAATGGCTTTTTGTCCCCAGCACACCACAGGCTTCTCTGATCTCCCCTTTCTCAGCTTGTCTCCCTCTGAACACCAATGTTGCATTTAGTGCAGAGGCCTCCCTCCTCCCTGTCCCCTTCTTTCCTTCTAGTCTGTTGGAGAAGACAGCAAGGCAGGGGCAACAGATATCTCACTCTTATTCCATATCCTCCTGTGGTGCACAGAAGACATTAATTCTTTCCTTTTTAAGGGAGCCTAGGGTACAGGGCAGAGATTAAGCCAGGAATCTGGAGGCCACTCCCAGTCTATGTTTGCTAAATTGTGTGTCTTGTCACTCCCCTGCTTAAAACTCTCGAATTGTGGCTGGGTGCAGTGGCTCATGCCTGTAGTCCTAGCACTCTGGGAGGCCATGGCGGGCAGATTGCTCAAGGTCAGGAGTTCGAAACCAGCCTAAGCAAGAGTGAGACTCTGTCTCTACTATAAATAAAAAGAAATTAATTGGACAACTAAAAATATATAGAAAAAATTAGCCAGGCATGGTGGCGCATGACTGTAGTCCCAGTTACTCAGGAGGCTGTGGCAGGAGGATTGCTTGAGCCCAGGAGTTGGAGGTTGGTTGCTGTGAGCTAGGCTGACTCTACGGCACTCTAGCCTGGGCAATAGGGTGAGACTCTGACGAAAGAAAGAAAGAAAAGAAAAGAAAGAAAGAAAGAAAGAGAGAAAGAGAGAAAGAGAGAAAGAGAGAGAGAAAGAGAGAGAGAGAGAAAGAAAGAAAGAAAGAAAGAAAGAAAGAAAGAAAGAAAGAAAGAAAGAAAGAAAGAAAGGAAGGAAGGAAGGAAAGAAGAAAGAAACAAAGAAAGAAATTCAAAATGGAGACAGCAGAGCATTAAAGCAAGCAATTCTGATCACAGGCCTTGTGGGAGGTCTGAGCAGGTCTCATATCCTAAAGCTGGCCCTGGCCTGGAGGGAGTGAGTTTGAGAAGAATGATAGTCTAGATGTGAGATGTTGAGGACTTGGGCCAAGGATTTAGGGTCAGAGTTGAAAGGAGAAGAAAAGTCTCTCCAGAGAAAAGTGGCAAGATTGGAAGAAAGATTAAAAGAAGTGGAGATTATGACTCTTAACATGTGGTATTTAGAGGTTCTTCTACTTCCCTACTAGACTATGGGCCTCCTGAGCCCTGTGAGAGCTGTGACTTAAGTCCAACTCATCTTGGCCTCCCCAGGGCTATAGCTACACACAGTCTCTACTAAGTGCTCAATAAATATTTGCTGACCCAAATGGGCAAATGAGCAGGGAAGTTCAGGCTGGGGCTGGGGCTGCAGGGAGGCAGAACACCTAAACAGACCTGGCTGCAGGGCTGGGGTCTCCGAGCAATACTGAAGACTGGGAATGTAGTCTTGGGAGGGCTTCAGGGAGACGTGGTGGGAAGAAGGGGAAGCCCTTGCACGTGGAGAGAACTAGGTGGTGGAACAAGGGGCTGTGGGTCTGGAGCAGGAGGTGTCCAGGGGACTGGTAGCAGCTTCTACAAGGGAATTCCCTCCTGGGATGGCCTTTATCCATCTCTGCGGGCCTATTCTAGCTTCCTTCTTGGCTGCTCCAGCACCCCGCTGGTCTTTTTGCTCAGTGTTTCTTGGTCTCAAGCT